AATATATCACATCTTCATTTGCTTCCTCAGGTTAGTCACACAATTACTCTAAGCACCTTGGGGGACTCAGGTTACAGATTTGGAGCCACGTATGTGGGCAGCAAGCAAACAGGACCTGCAGAGGTGAGCCTTTTAGTTGCTTTTTAACTGACTAGTGTTTTCCTGTCAGCTTGTTATACAGAAAACAGAAGATATAAAAATACAAAACTTATGTCGGTGCCGATAGCCTTGTGGGCAGCGCACCAACATCCAGCGCTGTTCACAGACACCACTAATACCCTTAATTTTACTTTTTTTTTTGTAAAGTTTAAAATATTGATAAAGTATAATATTTTAGTGAAACTAAAATAACACTGTCTAGAATCACTTTATTTTTAAGAACTATTGTTTTTAATGTATATTTTTCCCTTTGAAGCGGTTTTCTGTCAACTTGCTATGCCAATATTGAGTCTGAATGAAATGCTGAGTAGGATGTGATGTTAATGCCTCTCTTTTTTTGTTTTTTTTTGTCTGTCCCCCTCAGTCTTTTCCGGTCATGGTAGGTGACATGGACAACACAGGCAGTCTAAACGCACAGGTCATCCATCAGCTTACCAACCGCATTCGCTCTAAATTGGTAATGCAGGTATGCACGACTTTGCAGTCATGTTCACAAACTATGAATGTGAATCAGCAGATCCTACACATGGTATAGTTTTTTATGACACAGATGTATCATACAGTTAATGTAAGCTAGATCAGTTATGTGCTAAACTGGTTTCTCTCGTATTGTGAGAAAAGTAATTTCAGAAAATATGGTGAGAAGAAATAAATCCTTTCACGGGCTTTAAGAAGTTAATCCCAATCATGATCTAATGTCTTTAAAATTGCAGCTTTGTCCAGAGATCTGTTGTTGTGGAAAATGAGATGCAGTGCTGCATAGTGTATTGTTATTAATTGCCTGAATAAATGATGTGTTACAGACGCAGCAACACAAGTTTGTAAACTGGCAGTGTGATGCAGAATACCGTGGCGATGACTTCACAGCTGCTGTTACCCTTGGCAACCCAGATGTTCTCGTTGGATCTGGTAACATACCTTGCAGTTGCTATAGTCCATGACTGTCAAGTTCTAAAAAAACAATACAAGATGTTATGTTTATGTTTGGAGTCTGTAAGATTTTTGTAATGTTCTCTCTTAAGACTGCATTTACTGATCAGAAATACAGTAAAAACAGTAATATATTGTGAATTTTTTACATTTTTAAAAACAACTGTTTTCTATTTGAATATATTTTAAAGTGTAATTTGTTCCTGTGATGGCAAAATTCCAGTCTTTAGTGTCACATGATCCTTCAGAAATCATTCTAATATGCTGAGTTGCTGCTTAAGAAAAATTTTTTTTGGAAATGTTGATACTTTTTTTGTTGTTGTAATATGAAATAATGCATCCTTACTGAACAAAAGTAATTTCCTTTATAAAAAATCTTACTGACGCCAAACTTTTTAAGTTTTATGAGGAAACTGTTTATCTGTAGGAGCTTACATTCACTTTCATGTTTGGTCTGTTAGGTATCCTTGTGGCACACTACCTCCAGTCCTTGTCTCCTGCTTTGGTATTGGGTGGTGAACTGGTCTATCACAGGAGGCCAGGAGAAGAGGGCACCGTCACATCATTTGTGGGCAGATACACAGGTGGTCATTTGCAGATCATTCTTTGTCACATTTCAAGGATTGGCAGAAATTCATAATTCGATTGAATGTACTGATTGGACCTGTATGTTTTCGTCCTCAGGTAGTAACTATGTCGCCACGTTGACTGTTGGAGGAGCTGGTGCACATGCGTCATATTACCACAAAGCTAATGACCAGGTACTTCATACCATAAATAGATGTATTAAATGACAGATTTGTTACTTGAGATAAGACCTGTTAAAGATCTGTTAAACTCACTCCTTTGAATTTGATACTGGCATCCCAGTTTGGAATCCCGACTCAAGGACCTTTCCCAATCCCGCCCCCCTCTCTCTGTCCCACTTCGCTTCCTGTTAGTTCTGATCTGTCCTATTATAATAAAGGTAAAAATGCCTAAATAAAAAAAAATACAAACTTATTACAAATTAATAAATACTATATTAGTATCTCATTCTATAAAAAAACCTAATAAAATATAAAAATCTAAACTGTCAAATTATTAATAAAAAATATAATAGTATTTAAATAATACTAAAATAACCTTACAATATGCTCTTTGATGCAATTCAATGACAAGACATTTTTTTAAAACTCAAATTACAGTAGTCGTATGATTATGGAAAAAGACCAGGTACTTCATACCATAAATAGATGTATTAAATGACAGATTTGTTACTTGAGATAAGACCTGTTAAAGATCTGTTAAACTCACTCCTTTGAATTTGAACAGCTCCAGATTGGGGTAGAGTTTGAGGCCAGCACACGGATGCAGGACACAAGCGTGTCGTTTGGTTATCAGTTGGATGTACCGAAAGCAAATCTGCTTTTTAAAGGTATTGAAACACTTTTCTTGAAACATTTGCATTCAAACCAATTTGAGATTGATTTGAATTATTTGCACACTTTCATGTAGGGCTGCACAATTTGGGGAATCAATCTAATTGTGATTTGTCAGATTAAAAATCATCATAATGATTTAAAATGTGATTTTAAAAAATTGTAATTTATATATCAATATGGCTATAAAATAATAATCATAGTTAGTAGTAGTAGTAGTAGTAGTATTTTAATTACTAAATAAAAACAAAATAAATACTACTGTTGTAATATTTCCCTACAACACAATAGTATTTAAGAAGAATGTAATTTATTAGTATTATTATTATCAAGAGTATGATTATTACTAAATAAAACAAATATCACTAAATTCACTTCACTGTAAAATAAAATGAGTATTTAAGAAAAAAATATATAATAATGATTGTATTTTACATTTCAACTGTAAACTTACAGCACTTATATTTATGGGTGTATTAATCTTTTTAATTTCAAATGTTAAGCCATCAAACTTTTATACTGAACCACAGAAAGCCCTTAAAGCTTTGTTTTGTGGGTCAGTGTTTAAGCCAGGGCTGTCCAAACTCGGTCCTGGAGGGCCGGTGTCCTGCAGAGTTTAGCTCCAACTTGCCTCAACACACCTGACTGGAAATGTCTAGTATGCCTAGTAAGAGCTTGATTAGCTGGTTCAGGTGTGTTTAATTAGGGTTGGAGCTAAACTCTGCAGGACACCGGCCCTCCAGGACCGAGTTTGGACAGCCCTGGTTTAAGCTATTGATCCAGTTTGGGATCGTTAAGCGCATTACAAGTTTAGGAAGATTGTTAGTGCATATTGTGTCCACAGATTCATATTAAAATGATCCAAACTCAGAGCAGATACAGAGATGGAGTTTGCATGGAACAAAATGTACTGTGAACTGAGACGCTCAAACATCAGTGGATAATGAGATGCTCACACATAAGAACAGTGCCGTGCTTCACTCTAAACACGCAGCGCATTTATATTTATTTATTTATATTAAATTGCAGCCGTTGCTAGAAGCTGTATTGTGATTTTGGTTTTATTTCGATTAATTGTGCAACCTACTTTCAAGTTTGTTCCAGTTTGGTTCCATTGCTAAGCTTCCCTGTCCTCTTCTTGTTCTTCAGGTTCTTTAGATAGCAACTGGGTGGTGGGAGCGACGCTGGAAAAGAAGCTGTTACCCCTTCCTCTATCACTAGCTTTAGGCGCCTTCCTTAACCACCGCAAGAACAAGTTTCAGTGTGGCTTCGGCATCACCATCGGATAGAACGGCCGTGGCGACTCAAGAATCTCAACAGATACAACCCTCCACCACGCTTGGACCGGTGCAAAGAGACATGGGGACATGGACCAACACTGAAACGGACTCCCAGTATTAGTGTGTTGAACCTTCACATGGACGGACCAGGACAAAGAGCTCGCAGGACTGTCCAGCAGAGCTCTCATCAATAGGTCACATAAGGTTTGTTTTTAAATGCGCATCATGTGAAAGAAGTGTGTCTGATATGCATAACATTGCAGGTGTTTTGAAAGGACATGCGTATCCGTTTTCACAATATGATTCATTCTGATACAGTCAGAAAATGTGGACATGCCTTTGCTCTTTTCTTTTTGAGACAAAATTATGTTTTCTCTTTTCGTAAGACGGTTTTCTTAAGAGCAGAAGGCTTATGCCGTCTTCATTTTTTGATCAGTGAACAAAAAACACTTGGGTCTATATAAATGTGGTAAGGCGGTTTGAGTGTGCTTTTTTTTTTTAGTCTACTTGTTCATGTGAAAATGACTTGATCTTCAATAATTCACTTCAATAAATGAAATGCTGTTTATGTCAAAATTATGAAAATTAAATGTATGGGAAGCTCTGAGTTTAAATAATGGGTTGTTTAAGTCAATGCCTGTGTCCCTTTGTCTCAAATAACTAGTCAATCAGAACTGTCTGAGACTATTGATCATAAGGTCTTTTTCCTGTATTTGTCTGTTAGGGTCTTAGGGCCAAATTCGAATGCCGGTTTCATATTGACCGGGCGTAACCAATCAGACTGTCCTTTTTATGTGTCTCGACATGAAATGCCTCACTGAATTTTCCACATGGAAGTATTTTCAAAGTTTGTATTGTTTTAATTAGTTGTTGTACACAGTCAAAGGTGTTTGGGGCAGTCAAAGGGTTGGTGCAGATATTGTAATAAACCTGTACAACTTAAGCTGGTTTTAATGCCCATGTCTCATGCTGATTTCATGTCTTTGTGACATGGTGGAGTACTATAAAACAGGCTTTTGGCCTGATTCTAATGGATTATTTTACAGTGCAATTATGTTGAATAAACATTTGGTTGTGAATTGAGTTTTGAAAAGAACTAGGTTTTTATTGCCATTGCTAAAGATGAAAAGGTCTTACTTTGTTTGACTAAGGATAAAATGCCTAGTTGATGTGAGGTAATATGAGAACGGTGCAAATGTTTGTTTAAAAAAAAAAAAGGTCAGCATTGACAAGCATAGTGCATTTATATTTGTATTGCAAACATGAACTATAAATGTGTTATAGATTAACATGAACCAAATTTTACTGCAAAAGTCTCCAGTTCTACATTTGAAAATTCAGGCAAAACCATTTTCCTATTACAGACAGAACAACTGTAACATCTGCAGGACTGATTTAGTCAAATTAAGTTTTTCCGCTCTGTCTCTTATGGTTCTGGATCATTCTCTTCATAACCAGGTCCAACTCAAGATCTGACAGCTGAACATCTGTGTTTCCGCAGCCAACCTTTGGACAGCTGTGAAGAATGACAGAAAAGTTGGCAACAGTGGCTGTTACATTGTTCTATACACTACAGTTCAAAGGATACGTTAAATTGATCGAACGTGACAGTAAAGACTTTTACAATGTTACAAAAAAAAATCTATTTTCTATTAATCAAAGAATCCTGTTGGTTTCCAGAAATATATTAAGCAGCAAAACAATTGATAAGTGTTAACATTGATATTAAATGTAACTCTGGTATAAGTTTTAAGGGGTCATATGATGTTGCTAAAAAGAACATTATTTTGTGTATTTGGTGTAATGAAATGTGTTTATGCGTTTTAAGGTTCAAAAAACACATTATTTTCCACATACTGTACATTACTGGTAGGTAGGCGTGGCTGACTCTTAACTTTATAAAGAATATCTCTTTGGATTTGAGACTTTAGTCTTTGCAACTTTACAGATCTTCTTTATGCACCAAGAGCTTGTAACACTCCAAAGAGAAAGGAAAAATTGAAATCGCATCATATGACCCCTTTAAGATTTAATAAATAACATTAAATAAATGTAACATTAAAAATAATGAGCTTTTTTTGAGCATATTAGAATGATTTCTGAATGATCGTGTGACACTGAAGACTGGGGTAATGCCTGCTAAAAATTCTGCTTTGCAATCACATATATTAATTAAAATAGAAAACAGTTATTTTAAATTGTAATAATATTTCACAATATTTGTTTTTACTGTGTTTTTCATCAAATAAATGCAGCCCTGTTGGACTGGATATGGAAATTAATTTTGCATAACAGTATACTTATTTAGGGCAACATAAAGAAAAAACCGAGCAGTGACTACATACCGAAATTTCTTCTTATTTTTGTGCCTGGCCTTAATCATTTCAAGTACAGCCTCTTGGTCATAGTAATGATGGCATTTCTTGTTTTTCACTGGACTGACCATCTCAGCCTGTCAGAAAAAGGTAAAGTAAAAGGTTTGACTGATATGTCATTTTTATATGTTTCTTCTTCTTGCAATACAAGTAACACACAAAAACATCACTACAAATGCGAACTTTTAACTCAAGGGCTATAACATCTTGTGCACTTGATGCTGTGAAATGATGCTGACGTTTACCTGGGTGAGAGGGCAGATGAAGTTTGTCTGGCTCTGTGTTACAGCAATGTCCTCATCCAGCTCCTCTTCTTCATTCTCAGCAGCAGTTTGACCCGCTGCATATACATTATGCATAAAAATAAAATATTTAGGAATTGCAGCACTTATAACGTGGAAAATACAGCGGCCTTGTGTTGCAAGAGGGGGTGAGTTCCTCACCTTGCATGGCATATTTCCTGACACTGTCTCTGAAGGCAACAACCTTGCTGTGCCTTTGTAGGTCTGCATCTGTAACTCCAGCCACAAGCTCAGTGAATCGCTCCTTTACAGAGTTTCTCAGGTGAACCATGGCCTCAGGAGGTTCATGTCTGACCTACAGAACATAGAGAGAAAGCCAGGGTGGCTCAATGGGAGACTTGACAAAGACTGTGTGTCAAAATAAAGCACCAGTGACAGTCAGTTAAGACAAACCTGAGCAGTCATCTCATCAACAGACTCCACAAAACAGTTGATTTCTCGGTCCAGTCTTGAGCACTCCAGAATCATCCCCTCCAGCTTCTTCAGAGCTGGACTGTTATCCATACCTGAAATCAAATATAAAGTACATTTTGAAAAGTATGTCCAAAAGAAAGCTGAATTTTCAGCAGCCATTACTCCAGTCTTTAATGTCACATGATCTTTCAGAAATCACTCACCTTGTGCTTCAACTATTCCCAGCGCAACATCTGATACCATGTCCATACAACCTCCGATATCTGCTTGGCATGACTTCAGAGTGGACAAGGTGGACTGCACTGAACTTAGAGACATCTTTGGAAGCTATATGACTGCTTGGGGGGAAAAAGACACAAATTCTAACCACAAACTCACGTGCACCTTAAACATTGGGTTGACAACACGCTATGAAAAGAATTTAAAGGGACAGTCCACCAGATAAAAAAAAAAAAAAATCTCTTTCCCCACCCTCGTGTTCTTTAACACTTGTAGGACTTTCTTTAATAGAACAAAAAAAGATATGATAACAGAATAACAACCTCTGTCACCATTCACTTATAAAGTGTGAAAAAAAGATATGTAAGTGAATGGTGACTGAGGCCGACAGTACCAAGCATTCTGCCTGACATCGTTTTTGTTAAACTTAAAGAAAAAAGAAAGTCATACAGTTTTGGAAGTGAATGATGATCTGTAAATAATGTAATTAACGTTACTTTCATTTTTCTCTTTAACAAAATGTACTAACAATTTATTGGTCTAAGTGGTAAGCTATAGCATTTTCGTTTTCGATAATTCCCTTAAAACATTCAAACTACTTATCTGCGATATTTTTTGCAAATATAATCACATAAAATGATACCAAACCTTAACTTCACCAAAAGTAGCGCCACAGAGTAGCCGTTTCCGGTTTCAAAACGCCTCGAACTAGACGTCAACATAAAAGACTTTTAACGATTTCATAAAGTGGTCTTAAAGTTCTTACTACGTTTCACATAATTGTGGTATATTTAGTGACTACAGCCCGCATAAATTATAAAAACTACATTTTTTTAAATATCTGCGTTTAGATTATAAACATTCATTTTTTTTCGAATTCGAAAAAATCCCGTATTTCTTTGCATGACTGTTAATTTGACAGTCAAATCTAACGGAAAATCGCAACAAGGACGCGTCTGTACGCGGCCACGTCATGTAAACTAAACGGGGAAGGAGTGCGTACACCAGGGTAACCAAAATAGAAGAAGACTGAAACAGCATTTCTGCGTTGTGATCACAGATCCGTTTGTTGCACCTGCTCGTTTTCCTAAACTGCATCGGTGGAGAACCGACAGAGAATCTCCAGGCTTTATAATCATATGGCAAGATGTCAGATATCGGGGACTGGTTTAAAAACATCCCTTTCATCACTCGCTACTGGTTTGCTGGCTCAATTGCAGTGCCGCTAATAGGAAAGCTGGGATTAATCAGTCCTATATATCTCGTGTTATGGCCGGAGGCATTCTTTCATAAATTCCAGGTAGGTTTACGTTCAGTTTAACAGTAGTGAGAGTTTAGACAACAGCAGCGATGACAAGGCCTTGTTGTAGGCCCCGCACTGGAGTAATGTTACACTAGCCGCGTTTCCACTGTCGGGCCAAAAGCGGGCGTGCCAGTCGCGTTTCCACTGTCACTTCCGGGGCTTGATCGTGCCTCGTCGGAGCTTCCTCGGGGCCAAAGGCCCGGGTTTTTTGGCCCGACGAAAACCTTGGGTCAAAGTGGGCCAGCTGGGGCTGATAATTGTGCGTGCATCTATTAATCATTTAGAGTCTAATATCATCCCATAGCGCCGCGGATCATTTCATACAGTTAACAGCTATAACACCAGCATTAAAGACTTTTAAAATAATTTTAGTTCAAAACTCTAAACTGATGCGTCCTGGAGAACTGTGCTGTAGTGAACGGTAAATGATGAAAGACGGTTTAGTGATTTGTGTTCAAAATCTCATGCACAGTGCATCTGATTGCCTAAATTACGTGGTTTATTATATAATATTTTTTGTACATTAGGAAGTTTTAATGTTAGGTATTTAAAGGTTGTTGAAGCGAATACGAATACTTAATACGATGTTTTATGATTAAGCAGAATGTGAATGGTAAGAGAGAGCGTAACACGTGCTATTTGTGCATCGTCAGTATGCTAATTTATTTAACCTAATCCCTCCATCTGTACGTCACCATTATTCTGTTATACTGGTGATATTATTATAGTATTGAAAGACAGGAAACGCAATTTGAATCAAAAGTTGCGCACCCACAGAAAGAAAAAAAACAGTAACATTGAACACGTCCCAGGCTGCTCTGTTCAACCAATGACAGTCGAGTACGCGTCCGAGGCTACACTTCCGGGACAACAGGCTTTCATGGGCTGCCTAATTAATTTTTCCTTTTACAATAACTGCTTCTCACTGTGATGGCAAATATTTTAACCTTGTTTACTATAACTAATTAGGTAATATGAGAGTTTTGCGACATATATTAGAAATAATGTTATTCTGTTGTCCACAATGTGGAGGTCGGCTTTTCTAATACCTAATTCTTACAGTCTGCCTAAACTCTAAGTATTGAAAATATTTTAAAATACGTCATTAACCATGATCATTAATTATCAAAAATATGATATTTGTTGTTTTCGGTGTCAGTAATTTCCACCAGGTGGCGCCAAGCAATTTGTTTGTGGGCTAAAAGTGTAAAACAACCAGATTAATGTTTTTAAGAAACATTTGTATCCATTATTTCCATCCTTATTGCACCAAATTATGAGCTTCTCTGGGTGGTTAACTATCATGTGTTAATATCAAAAGCCTATGTATAGGCCTAGATTATATACATCGTTTTCTTCAGAACAGTTTTAGTGCTTAAAGCAGGGGTTGTCAAACTGGGGTTCAGGGACCCCCAGGGAGTCAGTGGAAAAGTTTAGAGATCATCAGTGTGAATGAATAAATAAATAATAATTCAAATCTAATATTAAACTAAATAAACAAATGAAATATTTATTAAAATAAAATAATTTAATTAAAATACTTTTTAAAAAATTATGCAAATAAATAGATTATACATCTAATAATGCTGCAGCACTATGAGTATGGAAACATTTAATAATGTAATGTAAAACAAATACATAAATATTTTCCAAATAATATTTTACACAGATTTTCACTTTTCATTTTTTTATACATAAAAATATGTAGCTCTTTTAATCAGAATCAGAATCAGAAGAGCTTTATTACCAAGTATGTTTACACACACAAGGAATTTGACTTGACGACAGGAGCTTCCAGTGCAGAAGAAAGTACAAACATAGTGCAGACATACATGATAGTGCAGACATACATAGGAATAACACAGTAGGGATGTAATATAAAACTAATTTAAAAAAAAAACATTAAATAATGTACTATATACAGAAATAGAAGTATAGGAGAAAATTTAATTGTTTAGATAAATGTACAGATGTTATTAGTGTGCAGATATGTTATTTACAAAGTGTGCAGTTTAATATAAATATGTCTTTAGGATGGGGGTCCCTTGCAAGAAGATGATTATATTTGGTGGCCTGTGGCATGTAAAAGATTGAAAAGCTGTCATGCAAGTTCTAAACTGTGTGTAGTGGGATAATGCACCACCCCTTAAGAAGTAAAGCCCACAAGAAGTTATTTTAATATGTATTTAAACCCACCTCACACTGTCTGGACATTTTGGTAGCGTTTAGCATCCATCACGTGTCACTATGTCTTTAACAGTGAGATTTCACTGATATTTCTTTGGCTTATCTAGTTTGTAAATGGCAGCATTATTGCTTTAAATCTGTTTCCCAAGATACGTTTTCATGAGTGATGCACCTGAAATTCAGGCATGGACTAATTTGACCTCTGCTAATGGCTAATTAACCTGTGATTCATTTTTGTTGAACAATTTTAGTTGTAATTTAGGAACTTAAATGTTGAGCTCCTTTTTATATGGCGTTTCTGTGATTTATCAACTCCCTTTGAACATGCTCTAAACTTAACTCCTGTCTGCTCACTATTAGCTAACATTTCATGACTCCTGTGCCAGTACAGGTTTCTTCCGGATTATGGCACAGATATAGGAAGTAAACTATATCTGAGCAAAATGAGTGATATCACCCACTTTAAAGAGCATACATTGCTAAGCCAAGGGTAACATAAAGCTTTTTTGTCACAGTGAACCGGTGCTCACATTGGCACATTTGTCTTAAGGAACCATTTAGCGGTTGAGAAGCGGCCAAATAAGCCTCTCCCCGTCCTCTCGCGGCATACCAATCCTGCTGTGCTTTTTAACCCACTTCTCTATGCTGCAGTCCACAGAGGTCACCTCTCCACACAGGTGAGCTGGCGTGATTTATGCTGCAGTGCGCGAGGGGGCCATTGGACTGCCTGGCTACCGCAGAGCCAGTTCAGACGCCAACATCAAAGCGTTGCTGCTCAGCGGATTCACAGTCCCCCAGACCGAAAACCCTGTTAGCTCAGGGTTTCTGTGTGTGCCGGAGGGAGGAGAGAACGCACTAGAAGTGAGGGAGGGATACAGGGAAAGGGAGGAGAACAAGACAGCCGAGGACTATAGAGAGGGATAAGGTGTGCATGTGCATGTTTAGAGGAAATTAAACACCGGAGAGTGTTAAAAATGTGTGCAGGGGAGTGTGTTTGTTGTTTACTGACCCAGTTTTTCTAGTCTGGGAATTACCGAACAAATCTGGATAACAGACCAGATGATTGTCTGTTCCTCTCAGAGCGTGATGTCTGGTGTAATAGCTGCAGTCGTGCTCAGGCACATGGATAATGAGTCCACAATGTGTGGGGAATCAAATCTGCAGTGCAAGCATGGTAGCTATAACTTTCAGGCAGTGCTGGCGACTGCATACAAATGCTGCTTGCTGGATATTCTCAGTGCCTGTTGGTTTTCTGTACTTCTACTTCAGTTTAAAGGGATAATACCAATTATTCACCCTCATGCCATTCCAAACCTGTATGACTTTTTTTCTTCTGCAGAACACAAAAGAAGATATTTTGGTAGATATTTTTGGTAAGATAATGTTGGTAACCAAACCGTTTTGTTTACCATTGACTTCTATTGCATGGACAAAAACACTCAAAATATATATTTTTTATGTTCCACTGAAGAAAGAAAGTCAATGTATACAGGGTCAAAGCAACATGAGGATGAGTAAATAATGACAGAATTTTCTTTCTTTCTTTGTTTTGGGTAAACTATCCCTTTAAGTATCTTATGTCTGTTGATTTTTAAATCAGTAAGTACTTTGATGCATCTGTTTCAATAAGCCAGAATCAGTGGGCATCTCCAACGGTAATCTGTGTCAAGTCATTAATAATTTTTTCTGTGTCCTCTCAACAGATATGGAGACCAATATCTGCAACACTGTATTTCCCAGTTGGCCCAGGGACGGGTTTTCTATACCTGGTTAATTTGTATTTCCTCTACCAGTACTCCTCAAGGCTTGAAACAGGTAGCTTCTGTTTCCTAAAATATATTAATTGTCCTTTAATTAAAATAATGTGTGACTGGACTTAAAAGTGCACTCAATATTTTTTGTTTCATTCTTACCTAGAGGTTTGTCATCTGCCACTTTAAATGCTTAAGCCCACTTAATGCTGAAGTCAGGTGGATTCTGATTGGCTGTCAGTGTTTTATCAGCTGGAAAGTTTTTTTGAAACTGTTGTGTGGACTTGCTGTCCTAATATATAACACAGAGGAACAATATCGGAATCACTTTCAGAACAATAAAAAAAAAAAATCTGATAAAAAAAAAAACATTGCCAGCCAGTCAGAATCCACCCAAATTCAATAATGCAGTTATTATTATTATCGTTATTTGTGTGAATGGCCTTTTATACTGACACCGAGTGGTGTAGATGCAGCATTACAAGATTTAATTTACTGAAGGCATTGTAAAAATCATGATTTATTCTATTCCACGAGCGGAAATGTCCAATAATAATTCAATTCAAGTTTATTTGTACAGCGCTTTTCACGATACAAATCATTGCAAAGCAACTTTACAGCAAATTAAGTTTCTACAATATTTAGTGGTAGCTTATCAGTGGTGACTGTCAGTTAATGTACATATGGCAGAAATAGGGGTTACTAATACAGGGCTGTACAGTGCGACATATATGTCGCACGTGCTACGAAAATACTGGTCTGTGCGATGAATAAATTTACCACTGTAGCACGCCTGCGATACAGTTTTGCATGTTCATAACACAGCCGCTTAATAGTGTGAAGTGATTTCGTTGTGCTTGTTTGTGTGTGTGAGATTGATTATACTTGGAAGTTAGGGCTGTGCGATATGACGATTTTTGAATGTCTCCACGATCTGCTTTTGAAGAAATATCGTTGTATCTCTTGAATTTTACTGCTAAATACTGTACCTGAAAAATAAAGCACTGTTTGTTTTATTTGTATATTATGTGTATTTGTAATGTATATATTTGTTCTTATTTTGTAATAACAAAGATAAAATAATGACAAAGATTTTTTATCTTTGCTCACTTTGGCCTAAATGTCTGCCATTCTTTTTTATTTTATATTTTGCTAATGTGTAAGAGGTGTTATGTTTCTGCACTCTTCCATTTTTATCAAATTAAGAAAACTTTGTCTAAAAACAATTTTTTGTATTTTTTGTGCTCTGTATGGAACATCAGTGCCTGTTTAAGTGATGAACTCCATTACTTGTGTTTGTTTTCAGACATGATAAGAGACGTTTTATACTTGTGCTACAACTTTTTGGCCTGTGCTACAAAACTTTCAACCTCTGTAGCACCAGTGCTATGTGAAAAAAAAGTTAACGTACAGCCCTGCTAATATAAAGAGAGAATTATTCAGCTAATCAAATTATTTCAAAATGGCAGCCCCTGTGAGGTGACCCGCTTCAGCATCTTTCTAGTCTTACAATATGACTTGTCATATCTCACTATGATGTACAGAGTTTAAAAAAAATATATACTGTTCTTTATGTGTAAAACTTTATTTGATCAGGAAGTGAAGTGATGATTACTATGGGACGTGACATCTCATCATATTTTCTCCCTTTTACAGGAGCTTTTGATGGAAGAACAGCAGACTACATGTTCATGCTTCTATTCAACTGGATTTGCATTGTTGTATCCTCTCTGTCCTGTACACACTGTACTGTAATATTTTATTATAAGATAAAATGTGTCATTCAGTGCAACGCAAACAAGTGATTAGTCATTGTCATCAAATGATTTGCGTCTGTACAGCACATACCCATTAACAGTGAATGACTTCACTCAATGAATGTGATGTGCTGAATTCAGCATTTTAGAATATTGCATTAAATGATTTAATATCCTCTGCAGATGTGGTTTTCATGCTATACAGCGTCCACTCAGCAAGAAAAAGCTTTTCTAGGAGTCATGTTCATTTTCCTTTGACACACAGCCTTTATCTGTCCTTAACATTTATAATTCAGATAACAGGCCTAATGATGGACATGCAGGTTAGTCTGAGTTTTTTCTTCCTTTTTATAAATGTGAAATTTTCCAAATTTTTTTTTTTGTATGATTGGCACTTAGTAAAGTGGAGGATATTTATTAACAAGTCAAATAATGTAGCGATCTTCATTCTCTCTTTAAAAAGTGATTGTAATTAGTGCTGTCAAACGATTAATCGCATCCAAAATAAAAGTTTTTGTTTACATAATATATGTGTGTGTTGTGTATATTTATTATGTATATATAAATACACACATACAGCATATATTTTGAAAATATTTACATGTATATATTTATATTCATATAATTTATATCATATATAAATATATTTAATATATAAACTTTACATATTTTTCTTTATATATATATATACATAATAAATATACACAGTACACACATTATGTAAACAAAATTTTTTATTTTGGATGCGGTTAATCGCAATTAATCGTTTGACGGCACTATTTTTAATTGTTTAGTATGGTATTTTGTTAATAATTTTAGTTATCCAGTATTAAAGTTTTAATATCTTTGAATTTGAACTTGTATCTATTTTATCGCTAGGTTGTTGTGTAAAAGTTGACATAAATCACAGATGCTAACACTCTAGACTTTAACACTAGAAGGTACTATTAAAAATATATTTAATATAGTGCTGTCAAATGGTTAATCGTGATTAATCACATCCAAAATAAAAGTTTTTGTTTACACAATATATGTATGTGTATATTTATTTTGTATATATAAAGACACACACATACAGTATATATTATGAAAATAAATATATGTATTTACGTGTATATATTTATATTCATATTCATTTATATTATAATTTATATTATATAAAAATATATTTGATATATACATATAACATATTTTTCTTAAATATATACATGCATGTGTTTGTATTTATATCTACATCATAAATATACACAGTACACACACATATATTATGTAAACAAAAGCTTTTATTTTGGATGCGATTAATCGTTTGACAGCACTAAATATGAAGTGTGATAATATCTTTTCTAAAAGTCGCTTATGCTCAGAAAGGCTGCATTTATTTGATCAAAAACAGAGTAAAAATGGTAATATTTAGAGAGATTATTACAATTCAATACAACTTCAGTGTATTTTAAAATGCAATTTAGTCCTGTGATGTCAAAGTTGAAATTTCAACAGCCATTACTCCAGTCTTCAGTGTCACACGATCCTTCTGAAATCATTTTAATATGCTGATTTGGTGCTCAAGAAACATTTGTTATTATCAGTGCTGAAAACAGTAGATTTAGTGTAGTCAATGAGTTATGAAAGAAGATGTGAAAATGCCCCCTGCCTCCCTACATCATCTTTCAAACTTGAAAGTGCACCAGAAGCAAATGTTGCCCCTCTTATTTGGTGTAAATCATCATTAAATGAAGACAACACAATGGAGACAAAAATGGTCTCAAAGCAGTTTTTGTCTTTCTCAAATCATCTGAAACCTTGTGCTGCTTATTTGAATGACAACCTTGTGTGATTTATGAGCATTCTTCTGCACTGCTGGAATTCCCATGGAGTTAATTAAGCTTTTTAATGTAACCTATTAGTTGTTTTTGCATTGCAATGTTGTAAATTGTAATGTTACATTTTAATTTTAATTTCCTTATTCATTTGTTCATAAATATTGGCTTGTTTGTGTTTTGCAGCTCCTGATGATCCCTTTGATCATGTCTGTTCTGTACGTCTGGGCTCAACTAAATCGTGACACGATTGTATCTTTCTGGTTTGGCACCAGATTCAAGGTATTCAATGCATTATTACTACAGTGTGATTTTACATGATATACTGATGTATTTTAATGCTCCACACCAAAACCTGTTCATGTTCACACTAACACAGGCTTGTTATCTCCCTTGGGTCATTCTGGGATTCAACTATATCATCGGAGGCTCGTAAGAATTTCCCCCCCACACAGATTAATATTCAAATGTCATAGTCATTTGATGTAGATGTTGTATAACATTGAGTCATCATAGTCACATAATAATTATTGTAACAATAACCATTTCTTTCTTCAGCGTTGTCAACGAGCTGATTGGGAACTTAGTTGGTCACCTTTACTTCTTTCTGATGTTCAAATACCCCATGGACCTGGGTGGCCGGTCCTTCCTCTCCACCCCACAGTTCCTGTGAGTTTATTGGCTGCACAGCTGGCCTCAGCTTCCTGTTATTATGAGTCAAGCAATGCTGATATGAATGAAGTGCCTTTTTATCAAATTACTAATTTATGAATCTTTAGCTAAATGAAAGTGACAAGTTAGGGGTTATTAAGGGTTTAGTGCAGCAATGATACTGTTATGCTTTATTGTCATACATTTTTTTTCTCAGGTACCAGATGTTCCCAAATCGACGAGGTGGGGTTTCTGGATTCGGCGTTCCTCCAAGCAGGAGACCTCTGCCCCAAGAGCAGGCAGGAGGTGGAGGAGGTGGGCGCCATAACTGGGGTCAAGGCTTTCGGCTGGGGGACGACTGAAGTCTTGACTCTTCCATCAATGGATAAATACAGAAACTTCTAACATCAATGCTGCAGAATATGAATTTTATATGTTTTGGGTTTGTGTTTGTTGCATTTCTTCTGACCCAAAAGGAAAAGTGACGGAGCTCTTTCCCAGCGTTACATATTTTCCTCTTACTCTCAATGTCATATCACACTGTTATTGACTTTCACAGTGTGTTCAGAAACTCTGCAAAAATATGTGCAGTAGCAGAGTTGGTATAATTGTAGGAAATTCAGGGGACTTTAATTGTGTTTCCCATAATATGACTGCATCCTTCAGCGTATTCATGTTACTTGCTCACAGTCAAATGTAGCTGATTAATTTCTCTATGAACTATTCAGTATAGATTGTTTGTTAGCATGGTTGTTTAGGAATGGACTTCAAATCTTTTTTTTTTTTTTTATCACCTCATTTGTCTAAATTAATTAGGTTAAATTTATTGTAAATTTTCTTAAGCATTACTTTTGCTTTACATTTGCGAATGAACTGAATTACCAATCAGAACATTCAGATGAAAGTGCTATGCATATTTCAGTCTGTTTTATACATGTATGCATATTTCCATCTGTTTTATATGTTTAGATGCCAGCCTTGAGTAAAGTTTATCAAACCATTTCCAGTAAAACTGCCATGCACTTTTCACACATTACTTATGATTAAACTAAGTTAAGATTAGTCTTATACGTACACATGCCATCTGACAGCAAACAGAAACCGAAGTTTTATAATTATTTGTACACTGAAAGTTATATTTATTGCTTTCATATTTGATTTTAGTATGCACTAAATTACAGTTTTGATATTATGTCCCTCAACACATTGTTTGGATAAAGGTGCTTTACAAAATCAAAATACCTTTATGTGCATATGGTGTATAATGGTGATACAGTCATATCAAAGTTATACAAAGTGACCTGTTCCAAACCACAATCTTTACTAAAATGATCAGTTTACATTTCTAGTGCTTTATTATTGCATTTCATTGAGTGCTTGTTCAATTACCGATGCTACAAATAAACTGTAAACAGCAACTGTGCTCACTAATTTGAGTACATTTGAGTTCAGTGTCTTGAGGGACACACTCAGGATACAGGCGCCTTAAAGTTGCATTTAAATTTTGCAGCACCCTGAAAAGAAACTTACTTGTATGTGTCCACTTGAAATATTAAGTGCCATCATGGACCACATTGTGTTTTAAACCAGCTTCACCAGCAGGTGGGTTAGTTTTGTGTCCACTCACAAAAATGATTGAACATTCCATTATAAGGGTCAAGGGAAATGTCTTGGGACTCCTATTATAAACGTAACAAAAGTCTTCAAAAAATTTTACAAATCTGTTGAAGTACAGAAAAAATATTTACAAGGGCCCTTTTAAAAAACAAAATAACAACATAGCAGTCAAACTTTGGCACTCCATGGTCACTCTCCAGACAGTGTTTCACAGATGCTCCCAAATCCATCTCGTCTCTGATAACTTCTGAGTCCAGATATGAGATCATTGGTTTCATTCACGACAACAGAGGTCAATCCTTAATCATCAGGCCCATCTAGTTCAGTCATAGCAGCCTGTTTTCTTCTGCAACAGAACAAGCAACAAATGCCACTTGACTCACATAAATTATGGATGAAGCTTTGAAAGAAAATCCAAAATTGACACACTGCCCCCCTCCCAGCACACATAAAATTTGGGCTCTGCCCTCTCTCTCGCTGCCAAGCTGTTTTTCTAAAGCCTAAATTACAGACTGCCGACATTCTGGGTGTCTTTCAACCACATCTGCTACATTATCATGAGAAGCAGCTATTTCTCAGGGAAAGAAACTCTCACTCCTTCTCCCTTCAAAATATCAACCAGCTAGTTAAAATAAAAAAGGACTGTTACCTTTATCACTTCATCCAGTCACTCTGTGCTCTGCCGACAGAACTTCAAGGTCTCGTTCCACTTTCTGTGCATCGTAATCTTTGCCTTCAATGTCAGCTGCCAAGGAAACCCACCTCTTACCATCTACACTCGCCTGTCCATGTTGGTCCTTGCTCTTGCTGATATCAGGCATGTTGTGGCCCAGCTTACTGGTGAACCATTCGACTATGTCCTGGTTGGTTAGTTTTGACTGCTCTGCAAGCTTCTCAAAACCCTCCCCTTTTTGTACCTTTGTCTCTTGAAAGTGCCTTTGTAGGACACTCTGGGCCTGCTCCGAGATCAACGAGCTGTTTTGTCCATTCGGTCTCTTGTTGCTAAGACTTTGAAATTGCTCCATCCAACCTAACGTCCCATTTTTCAGAGCAGATCTGTTGTCCTTAAACCACCGGACAATTTCTGTACGAGCTAACCCTGTTTGGATTTCTAGTTGGTTGTACTCCTCTGGTGAGGGCCACTGGGTTTGTGCAAACATGTCTTTAAGAAGGCAGAGAGACTTGCCATCGATGGCCTCTGGACACACTGAAGACGTGAGAATGGGAAGAGGCGAGTCCCTGACTCTGCTGTCCTGCTCATGGACTCCATTCAGTGTCCCCCTTTGTAGGTGATGCTCCAGCCTTTTTGAGCCCATCGAGTTGAGCAAGGCTTGCTCCAGGTTGTCTCGTAGTGCACGGCGCTCCGTAAACCAGCAATCAATTTCGGTTTTGGAGAGCATGGTGTCCGCCACAAGGTGCTCTATCTCAGCCTGGGTTGGAAAGCTAGTCCTTTGGAAACTCTCCTCTAACTTTTTCATTTGTTCAGAGGATTTGCCTTTAACTCTCTCTAGTAGGGGAAACTGTGTGGCAACAGGCTTATGCGGTTGGCGGTCCTTCAAAGAGAGGTCGGTTTTAATCTGTTGCACTGCCTTATGGTTTCCATGGCGCTGATCGCTGAACCATTTTTTGATCTCTCCCCAGGAGAGGCCAGTCGTCTCGGTGAGACGATACACTTCTTCATCATCAGGAAACTGGCACTGAGCATAGCTGTTGGTCAGCTCTCTGATCTGATCAGGGGTTTTCTCACAATCTGAAGAAAGGCTTGGTGTCGGAGAGACAGACTTGGGAGTGCTCTGAACGGACTGAATTATTGAAGGCCTCTTTATCTCTGGGGCAACCAGTGGTGCTCTGTGGGCCCTCTTGACACCCTGTGCTATTTGATTTGTCACTGTTAGTGCGAGAGCAGCACCAGTAGCAGTTGAGCCATTGGAAACCGGTGCTAACACCAGGCCAGATTGTCCAAGGACATGGCAAGGGACGGTCTGGATAAGGGGCTGTGAAGCTTTAGTGGACTGAGTTAACTGAGCAGGTAAGACAGTGAACGCCTGTTGAACAGGCTGAATCGTTCCATTGAACATCTTCTTTCGTGCTTCCTCAACCTCCTCGGGAGACCAGCTGATACCTTGTTTTAGCCGTTGGGTAGTGAACCACACTTTGATTTGTTCTTCGGGGTGTTTGGAGGCTGCAGTGAGCCAAGAGAGCTCTGCTTGGGTAGGGTACGGAAACTTGTTGAAGGAGGTTATGAGGGTCAAGTTGCCATCTAGCGAGGGGTTGTATTTTGAAGTGTTCAAGGGGACGGCGATTTTTGGTACTAAGTTGTAGTTAGGCGGGCGTTGCAAGGATGGCATTATATGAGAGAGGCCATCCTTAATAGTTGCATCTGGGATTATCACAGTCCCGTTCACATTCACCGCAGTAATTTGCTTTTTCGGTAGATCTTGAGCGAGTTTGTCCAGCGGACTATCGTCCTGCAACCGTAAACTATCTGCTTTGGGCTTACCCACCTTAACAGTACTGGATTTGCTCAGAGGAAAAGCAGTAAAGTCATCTCCTGACTGAGGGCTGGTGGTATCATAGATGACGGCACAGTTCGAACCTTCGATTGTCTGTTCTAGAATAGTCTGACTGTTGAGTTTGATTCTCTTGAACTTGAAGTTGCTCTCACCAGGATGGCATTTCTCATTGTGTTCCGTCAAAGAATCAAACTTTTTTGTGTTGAAGTTGCATACCGCACACAAGTACAGTGGGTTGAGTATAACATTGGGGTGGTTGGAATCGACATGATCTTTGAACTCGTTGAGATTTTGTGTGGAAAAGGGACAGTATTTGCACTCATAGCCTCCCTGGAGTTTCCTCTGTGGTCGTGTTTTCACTTCAGGTTTTTCCAGCTCCGTTGCTTCCTGCGCAGAGTTCACAGAACTCTTCCTATCCATCCAGTCCTCACTAGAAGACACATGTGAGCATCCATTCTCTTCTGGACCGTCCACACAGGAATCCATTTCTTCTGGATCGTCTGCAGTTACCAAGTCATCCGGTCGGATCATGCAGGGTGTTGTAGACTTTCTTCGACTAGCCATGGTCAGGGAGTAAGACGGTACAGTGCAGGGGGTCTCTGTTGATGGGCAATGGGCAGGTCTTTGTCTGGTGGAGGATCAGTAAAGGATGATTCCGCTGACTGTGAATGTCAGCTCCAATGGAAGACTTCATGAGACTTCATCCCAGATCACACAGTCTATTTAAAAAAAAATACAAATTAAGTATTCATATAGCAAAACTAGATTTTCATAGCACACAGAACATGTATATGTTCAGTTCTAAGTCAACTGATAAGATTCAAAATGGAAACAGTGAAATACAAAAAACGCATACAAAGGTTTCTCCTTTTTCATAAATTAACATGACATTTTATAGGTTGGTGTATGACAAAAAAAAAAAGATTACAAGAAACAAAGTAGGCCAAATTCAAGTTGTCAAGCCACAAACACACAAACCTGTTACTGAAAATTTGTCTATAAACAAGGTATCTTCTAGCCTACAATATACATGTCCCTTTTTAAAAATTTGTATAAGGTCAAACTTGGAAAACTTGTGAATTGCACAGAAGAATTTTGAGCAGTCCACAAAGTCATATCAGGTGCTATCGAGAGATGATAAACAGTTGCGCGGTGTGCAAAGATTCAGAGAAAACACTGGTTTCGATTTTAAGATGCTGCAAGTTGTGTCTGACTCTGCTGCATCTGGTGTGTGACTACCTTTAGATAATTAATATGAAAATGCAGAGTTTTTCCAAGGTTCTTCACGATCTAAAACAACAGATAGATACAGATTAAAGGCTTACAAGTCTATATGCCTCAATGTGACACAAAAGGTATCAGTTTTTTAATCACAGTTAATTGTCACTTCAGGTGCAACACAGCTTGATTTAGTGTGAAAATCATCACAAAGGACTACAGAACCTCATTAAAAATTAAGCCGAGGTGTTACAGCTCCTGCTTAAAAGCATTTAGATACACACCCCAGTGCTGTGTATTAAATTAGAGGCATCAGCAATATGGTGGTCAATACGGATGGGAGGGGCAAAAACATCCTGTGCTAGGCTGAACTTGTCCTGTCCAATAATAGGCCTTCCTCAGGCCTGTGTTGCCCTCAGCAGATCTCAGTACATTGGAGACTGATTAAATATGGATGGGACCCTGAGCATCTCATATCACAGCCTCAACTCACTGTGAGAGTACCAGTATAATGTAACCTTAGAAATTCTTTTTTTCTTCTTCTTCCTTGAGAAAACTGTGCTAAGGGCAAAAAGGACAAAGTTCACAGGAAAAAAAAAAAAGAATCAGCATTTTGACATTTATTACCATTTAATGTGTGTGTGTGTGTGGAGAAAGAGAAAGAGAGAGAGACTGAGATTCACCTAAATCAGCCAGTATATTTATTACCTCATGAAAATCAAAGGAAAGGAAAGGGAAAACACTTACCATGCAAACTCAGAATTTTAAATGTTTGCCAAGGGCTTACAGGCGATAAAGAATGAGAAAGCATGAGACTACATAAGTTATGATCACATAGCATTCAATCTAAAGCCATTCAAAAAGAAACATTACTTAGCCTCAAGTCTCAATAGCTGTTATTGACACACACAAAAAACAGAATGCTGTGAACTTAAGACCGTGCTAAAGGCAAATAACTAAAAGCAATCAAAAAGAAAAATAATCATAATCTTAGAATTTAAATGAAAGGATTTGACACTGTCTACTGACTACTTAAAGTAACATCAATATTAGAGCAATAGACTACTAAATGTTAACACAAGCTGGAGGGTGTTCAGCATGAAGCACAGTTTCTGTAACAGTACGGCCTGTTGCAAAACTGAAAAACACATATTGGTTCTCCTGTATGGATTCACATGCATTAACATGCGTGTTTCCAGGAGAGGATGTTGCTGAGGAGCCGTTGTGAAGAGGCGGAGACTGAGCTCTGTTAATACTGTGGAGCACAGTAGGGGGGGGCTGAATTTGGGATTGAGGCAGAATTAATTTAAATCTCATCAAATGGGGCTCTAGAAGCCTGCAGCACTGCACAGATGTACACTGAGTGCTATTTTCCATGATAATACTGACAAAAAGTGTTGTGTAATTGGTATAGATCACACCCCCTTCACCAATTTTTAGACTTAAAATGTGGGCACTGCTGACTCCTTTTGAATATTAGGATGAGGTGGCAAAGGTCTCTGGATCCACGGCAGCAGTGATACCTGATGCTCAGTAACATTCTTTATTAAACATTAGTGCCACAGATTCCATTTCAAGGTTGTAGTAACAAGAACTAAACACTGCTTAAGAGTGAAAATAATAATTTGTCTAACTGAGGATGAATGTGGGTATATGTGATCCGAGGATGAAGTAGTGTTGCAGTAGGAAAATGACACAGAGCTCAGAGCAAAGTCCTTTGGGTAGGTGTCCAGGATTTCAGTGATTTGGGGTACCAAGGGACAAGCCTCGAAAAAGCTGGACTCATGCGTTGTCATGGAAACGGCCCAGTCGCAGGTGGGAGGGATTTTCTCCACAGAAATCCAGATGAGGAACATTCCGCATTCCTATTTTTGGCCGAGCCTGTTCTTTCGGGGTGAAACCCACACTGAGAGATTGTATTCATCCTATTAATTCTAGATTTGTATACTTGTGTATATGCTGATGCATGTTTCGTGAATCAGTACGAGTGGGTGCATTAATTATGCTTATTCAAAGAAAGCAAAACTAAACTTAAACAAAAGCTAATATGTGCGTCTTGTTGATACTGAGAACACAGAAACAAAAATAAATGTCTGGTTGCATGTTCATTTCCTGGCACGTTCCATTAAAGGGATAGTTCACCCAAAAATGAAAATTTTGTCATTAAAGAGATGATAAACAGTTGCGCGGTGTGCAAAGATTCAGAGAAAACACTGGTTTCGATTTTAAGATGCTGCAAGTTGTGTCTGACTCTGCTGCATCTGGTGTGTGACTACCTTTAGATAATTAATATGAAAATGCAGAGTTTTTCCAAGGTTCTTCACGATCTAAAACAACAGATAGATACAGATTAAAGGCTTACAAGTCTATATGCCTCAATGTGACACAAAAGGTATCAGTTTTTTAATCACAGTTAATTGTCACTTCAGGTGCAACACAGCTTGATTTAGTGTGAAAATCATCACAAAGGACTACAGAACCTCATTAAAAATTAAGCCGAGGTGTTACAGCTCCTGCTTAAAAGCATTTAGATACACACCCCAGTGCTGTGTATTAAATTAGAGGCATCAGCAATATGGTGGTCAATACGGATGGGAGGGGCAAAAACATCCTGTGCTAGGCTGAACTTGTCCTGTCCAATAATAGGCCTTCCTCAGGCCTGTGTTGCCCTCAGCAGATCTCAGTACATTGGAGACTGATTAAATATGGATGGGACCCTGAGCATCTCATATCACAGCCTCAACTCACTGTGAGAGTACCAGTATAATGTAACCTTAGAAATTCTTTTTTTCTTCTTCTTCCTTGAGAAAACTGTGCTAAGGGCAAAAAGGACAAAGTTCACAGGAAAAAAAAAAAAGAATCAGCATTTTGACATTTATTACCATTTAATGTGTGTGTGTGTGTGGAGAAAGAGAAAGAGAGAGAGACTGAGATTCACCTAAATCAGCCAGTATATTTATTACCTCATGAAAATCAAAGGAAAGGAAAGGGAAAACACTTACCATGCAAACTCAGAATTTTAAATGTTTGCCAAGGGCTTACAGGCGATAAAGAATGAGAAAGCATGAGACTACATAAGTTATGATCACATAGCATTCAATCTAAAGCCATTCAAAAAGAAACATTACTTAGCCTCAAGTCTCAATAGCTGTTATTGACACACACAAAAAACAGAATGCTGTGAACTTAAGACCGTGCTAAAGGCAAATAACTAAAAGCAATCAAAAAGAAAAATAATCATAATCTTAGAATTTAAATGAAAGGATTTGACACTGTCTACTGACTACTTAAAGTAACATCAATATTAGAGCAATAGACTACTAAATGTTAACACAAGCTGGAGGGTGTTCAGCATGAAGCACAGTTTCTGTAACAGTACGGCCTGTTGCAAAACTGAAAAACACATATTGGTTCTCCTGTATGGATTCACATGCATTAACATGCGTGTTTCCAGGAGAGGATGTTGCTGAGGAGCCGTTGTGAAGAGGCGGAGACTGAGCTCTGTTAATACTGTGGAGCACAGTAGGGGGGGGCTGAATTTGGGATTGAGGCAGAATTAATTTAAATCTCATCAAATGGGGCTCTAGAAGCCTGCAGCACTGCACAGATGTACACTGAGTGCTATTTTCCATGATAATACTGACAAAAAGTGTTGTGTAATTGGTATAGATCACACCCCCTTCACCAATTTTTAGACTTAAAATGTGGGCACTGCTGACTCCTTTTGAATATTAGGATGAGGTGGCAAAGGTCTCTGGATCCACGGCAGCAGTGATACCTGATGCTCAGTAACATTCTTTATTAAACATTAGTGCCACAGATTCCATTTCAAGGTTGTAGTAACAAGAACTAAACACTGCTTAAGAGTGAAAATAATAATTTGTCTAACTGAGGATGAATGTGGGTATATGTGATCCGAGGATGAAGTAGTGTTGCAGTAGGAAAATGACACAGAGCTCAGAGCAAAGTCCTTTGGGTAGGTGTCCAGGATTTCAGTGATTTGGGGTACCAAGGGACAAGCCTCGAAAAAGCTGGACTCATGCGTTGTCATGGAAACGGCCCAGTCGCAGGTGGGAGGGATTTTCTCCACAGAAATCCAGATGAGGAACATTCCGCATTCCTATTTTTGGCCGAGCCTGTTCTTTCGGGGTGAAACCCACACTGAGAGATTGTATTCATCCTATTAATTCTAGATTTGTATACTTGTGTATATGCTGATGCATGTTTCGTGAATCAGTACGAGTGGGTGCATTAATTATGCTTATTCAAAGAAAGCAAAACTAAACTTAAACAAAAGCTAATATGTGCGTCTTGTTGATACTGAGAACACAGAAACAAAAATAAATGTCTGGTTGCATGTTCATTTCCTGGCACGTTCCATTAAAGGGATAGTTCACCCAAAAATGAAAATTTTGTCATTAATTACTCACCCTCATGTTGTTCCAAACCCGCAAGACCTTCGTTCATCTGTGGAACACAAATTAAGATATTTTTGATGGAATCTGAGAGGGTTTGGAACGACATGAGGGTGAGTAAATAATGACAGAATTTCATTTTTGGATGAACTACCCCTTTAATAGATTACAAATGTAAGTATAAAAAAAGTATTTTTTTTAATCTTTTCGGCAAATGATCAGTGAGAGGGTGTGCGTAACCTTTTAAACAGATTGTCAGCCTCAGAAAGTCAGACAAAATATTACATGAGAATACATTTTTTACTCGTTTTATAAAGACTGCAGCTTTTTCAACCCTATTACCAAAATGTGGGACGTGTCTAAATACAGTTGACTTTTTTCCCAGTAATGAACATGAATTTAATTAAACATCAAAAAAATTAACATTTCTGAACAATCAATTGAAAAAATATTTCCGAAAAGTGACAACAACAAGGTTGCACACAAAATATGAGATATAGCAAAATAGTTTTTTTTTTTTTTTCTAATTATAATTAGGCCTATTTACCGATTAAAAAAGCTTTGCTACAATTAATTTAACGTTAATTCACAATTATGACAAAAATTACACTGTTGTATAATTTTAATTGTTGGCCACAGTTAAAGGCCAAAATATCTGTTCAAATGTTGATCAAAGTCTGCATTTAAAACCAAAAAGGTTAATCTCATTTTAGATAACCTTTTGGCTAAAAATCAGGTAACATGTCAAAGTTCTCACCGTTTAAAAAAAACCAAAAAAAACATGAAAACTGTTCCTCTACAGCTTTGAGAAAAAGTAATGGGACACCAAACTGCAACCTATTCATGGAAATTGCCTTGTGTAGTTACACAGAGACTCATTCTGTGGCAAAAAGTACAATTCAAAAGAACATATGTGACCCTGGACCACAAAACCAGTCATAAGGGTCAATTTTTCGAAATTAAGATTTATACATCATCTGAAAGCTGAATAAATAAGCTTTCCATTGATGTTAGGATAGGACAATATTTGTCCGAGATACAACTATTTGAAAATCTGGAATCTGAGGGTGCAGAAAAATCTAAATATTGAGAAAATCGCCTTTAAAGTTCTTAGCAATGCATATTACTAATAAAAAATTAAGTTTTAATATATTTAGAGTAGGAAATTTACAATATATCTTCATGGAACATGATCTTTACTTAATATCCTAATGATTTTTGGCATAAAAGAAAAATCCATAATTTTGACCATGCAATGTATTTTTGGCTATTGCCACAAATATACCCCAGCGACTTAAGACTGGTTTTGTGGTCCAGGGTCACATATGATCTGAAATCAATATCCAATGAAAACAAAGGATTTTTACGAACCACAGCGCATTCGTTTGAAACTGGTCACTATTATGCAGGGAAAACCATGCTTAATTTTGACCAAGTAACCAGAGACAGAGGGCATGGCGTTCCTGCTAAAGCCATCTGTAAAGGTCTGGATGCTCAGCAGCATACAGTGTCTTCAAAAGAAACCAAATCTCTGTGGTCGACCACTAAGTTATATGGCTGCTGTCCCAGAGAGTTATGAAATACTCATGGAAAGGGTCACGCTGAGGATCAAGAGATCAGGGTCATGTTTGAGCACTGCGTCTATGAGCCTCGGATGAAATACTTTGTTAAATAAAATGCTAATCCGGTAACACCGGTTGGTTAACATGGCTGTGTATCTACATTGGCAAATGTTTTCATTGAACAACGACATTAAACAGGTTTTAATCATTCTGAACAGCCTCTATTGACTATTATATTGATCTGATGACTTGATAACCTTTATACAACACTAACCACAGTCAGTTCGGACATGAATGTCAACTGTTTTTTCTGCCTTCTCTGCAAAACTCCTTATAAAACAAAAAAGACAGGCTCTACTAAGCCTCCGATATGCTTGACAACTGGTTTGCTCAACGGATATCAGATTCATACATACCACTGGACAGTGATCACTGCTGTCATCCATCTGTGAGTTTGATTCATGACATATAAGAGGCCCGAATAACACAGATCCCACTGAGATTGATCTGCATGACTCCACACCAACACAACCACTTTAGAGATGTTTATCGCTTTCCTCGTCTGATCTAATGCATTCCAACATGCTGATGTGAATTGGAAATTAAATCACAATTGTCTTGTTGTGCAATGATGCCACAACTGCTCATTTTAAAAGGTCCTTGCACACCGAGTCCGGAATTTTATAAGCGTTTTTTCTGTATTTGTCATCCTTTCCTATTAAAATGCTTGCTATGGATGAGAAAACACAGAAAATCGAACCTGATCCGAATTGTTTTATGACAAACGAACGTTTCGGAGGCAGTGTGTAAACGTGATTGACACAACGTGAGGTCGTATTTATTTTTTAATGTGCAAAAATTTCAGACAGGAATTTCAGACTCTGTGTGCAAAGACCTTAAGGCTGCACGATATATCGGTACCATATTGGTTATCGGCCGTTATTTTTACATTTAGATTACCTTTGTGGTCATCTAACACTCACTGAAAGTTAATCTTTTAAAATAATTTAATATCACAATTTAATAATCAAACCACAAAAGGAATATCATTTTTCATACGGTAAATTCTAATGTTGTTATGCCTAAAATTAATTTTTATTTTATAGTATTTTTAATATATTTTCATTTGTTTAAACACAATATAACATTTATATGAGGAATTTATTGCTTATTGGACATCATATGAAAATGATTATTTACCCATATCAGTCATAAATTTAATTATGATGCATCCCTAGCTCATTTGCATTTAATCAAATCATTTCAGTATGATTCCTTTATATATTTATTATCTAGCATTTAGAAGTGTTAGTAGATTTCTAGGAAAAACATTACAAGCAGAGAACTGAAAAATAAGTAAGCTGTATGAAAGAGACACGAGGAGTGGGTAAATTCTTCAACTCAGCTCAGGCATACAGCTAAATAGAGCTTTGAAGTTATAATTTCACATCAAAATGGACCATCTTCACTGACTACTGTTTATTGGTACAAGCACATTCTGAGCTATTATCTATCCCTCTCAAGGTCTGAAATCCTCAACAGGATGAAAACTTATTTAATTACATTGTATGACTGAATTATTCAAGCTCATGAATTAGGGCACTAAAGCATGGTCTGTCTCTGCTGTACAAACATCAATGTTGTGCTCTGTTTGGACTCACAATATCACTATATTATCATCATCATAAATCTTTTTAAATCAGCAGCCCACCTGTCAATGATGGTCTCCCCTTTTTGGAGTATAATATTTGTAAGGTCCTATGTGGCAAGTTTTCCTACTCTGCCACCTTTTTCACCCAGCTTCTCCTCACCTATAAAAAGAACAGTTGAATTGGTATTTGTATCTTAGAAGTTCATCTAAACAGCACCATTTCTGACAAGGCCTCAGAGGCACCAATTCAAAGATAATAAACTTCCTCTCGAAGCTAAAAATAGACACTCCACGTGACATATTGTTGACTGCAAACCCTTATTTTCTTTTCTCCATACTGTAAGTTCAGGTCAGTGCACTGATAAGACTCAAGCATAAACTCAACGTCTTTAGGCCTGATTCATTTTATCTCATGTCCCTGATGGAGCAACCCCAACTTTCACAGTTGCTATAACAGTTTAGCATCTCTAAAAATTATACAGCAGCTCAGACACAAGGCGAATGTAGTTCAAGTCACCTGAGGATCTACAGGCTTTAAAATGTATCCGCCTGCACATGCAAATTAATAAACATCAGTGTCATTTAAGAATTTTTATTATCCTGCTACTCAATATTATGGTCAGTATAGTTATATGCAGCATCTCCGTTACACCTCCAAAAAAGCTGGGTCACGACTGCAAAAGTAGGGCAGAATATTGGCAACAGAGAGGCTGCTCAACAGCGAGCGACTGCAAAAAGTTGAATGCTTCTCTCCCTTTAGGAAAACAACCATCTCAAACGCATTGTTTTATTTTCTTTAGGCCTAGTTCAAGTAAGAATCTATTATGCTGAGGCCCATCTGTATAATAGCCCAGCTGCTTTCACTGCCACTCAAACGCATTCAACATGCTCAAATACATATAAAAATCATATACGAGAAATGATTGCAAGATATGACATGAATAGTGATGAATCATGATTTGTTGTACTCATCATGCAGCGGTCTAGTAAAAAAAAAAAAAGAATAAGATAGTATGCCACCTTCAACTGCAACTTCAGCTGGTCGCACACGTCAGTTCTGACTCTCTCTTTTCCAGGACATGAACGCAGAGGGAAATTAATAGCTTTAGTAGTGATGACTAATAAATAACCTGGCTCCAATGTGAGGCCAGACTCCCTCACAAAGAGGCTCTGCTTTCAGTGGAGTCATGACCACCAGCACCGACAGAGAATACACAGCTTTCAAGGGAGCCCAGCCCACGGCTGTGACATCAGCGACTGTCGGCTTAGTCACAGACAGCACGGGCTACGAGGCAGAGGCAGCAGCAACCACCTCCTCAAAGACGTCAGCTCCTCACGAACACGGGCAGCCATTTTGAATCCAGCCAGTCACCTGGCACAAACCGCATTTTGTGCCAGAGCAACTCAAGCAGAGTTGTACTTTTGACAATACGCGTCACTACTTTGTAAAAGTTACCTCAGTTTTGGTTGCATGAATAAACCTGTGTAATGAGAGATGTTTACATACTACGACCCACAAGGTGAACGCTAAAGGTTGGCAAGTGTATTTGTGCCAGGAAGAACGAGAATGTTTAGTAAATGGCGTAAATACAGAATAAACTTCAGTGAAACTGTATCCGAATGCCCTTCAGTGAGCACAGTGGGAAACAAATAACTACAAACACATAGGAATAGCTGTTTCTTTATAGTGTGTATATTAACAATATTCTGTTTAGTTCTAAGACAGTTTTTAGAGATCAGCTTAGATTAATAAACAACATAATGAAATGTGGTACTAATTGATAATCCTAAATAAATTACTAGATAAAGTCAACAAACAAACTGATTTTCTCTCATTTAGCCTTATGCTGTAAACTAAACCAAACCTCAGATTATACAGTCCATGATATGATGGAGCATGTGGTAAGAACACAAACAGTATTTTACACCGAGTAATATTCCAAGGAAGGAGAAATGAGGTTTTAAGAGTCGCAAATTAAGTTGCTGCAAAAGCTAAAGATACAGATAGATGCCCCTCTTCGATTTGAATCAGATTTAGTAACAGCTTTATTGCCAAGTATGAATTTACTTAAACTCAAGGAAACCCTCTGATCCTACAAAACTGCTAAACTTTACACTCACCCACTAAACCATGTTGGAGGAATATTCTGAAAGTGATTTTCCAGCAACATCAGACTACATGAAAAAGTAGGAAAGACCTGCCAGACATAAGTAAACAGTCCAGCATCTTACAGATGGGAGATTTGTTCTGTACTCTATGCATCCCTTGGGAAAGCATTTGAAATTACATGTGACTGGACACTGAAGCAAATATCACGTGTGGGCCGTTAGTCTGACACACTTGAATCACCTGAAGTGTACTAGGAATATTGGCCGAGATGATTACGATGCATCCACTGTATGCTATAGTAAGAATTTTGAACAACCCAGATCGGCACAGGAGTAGTAAATTCAGCTTCAGAAATGCATTTGCTCTATATAGGGAGCTACGAGTCTCTAGTAGTATGGATGCGACAATTTTGGGAACTATCACAGATGTGAACACAGTGCTGCAATGTGGCTCGCGTCTGATGCGTGTGCCATGCAGTATGGTCGTGGAAGGCGTCACCACTGCCTACATCATACGACACCGAGCCGAAATGAAGGAGTTGCGTGCCATGCTCACTTCATACAAGCGCATGAATAAATCATTCTTAGTTCGAAACAGATTTCCGATCGTGGCGTGCAATGTAAAAGAGGGGTTTGTGGAGGTAAAACAGACTCCAATAAAAATCACTTGGACCGACGTAACGCCATGTCGACATTGGTAGCCATATTTTGCTGCTTATTTCGACATCAGAGAAGTAGACATGTTCTCGCGCCCATTACTGCTTAACTTGAACCATTCTATGAAACTTTACGCAAGCCACACCAAATCACAGCGCTGGAAACGTTAAAACTGAGGTTATCGGGTCAGGTCGATGCGGTTATTCTGGTGCTCACTTTCTACAATATGCCTTGGGCAAACAAAGTTCAGCTGAAATAAACAACTGACATCAGAAGCACTTTACGGCACGTTTCGGACAACTAGTTATTGTGTGTATTCAAACGCGCCCGCAACTTTAAGGCTTGTTTGCTAATTTTCCAAGCGACACGACTAATTCAGCCATTCTTACCTGCCCACCAACCAACGGAAAAAGCTGGGATGTGAGGTTACTGACAGCTAGACTCCAAAATTGCGTACTTTTCCGCGTGTACAGCCTACAGAAGCGCACGATTGTAACGATTCTGCCGAATTCTAAAGACAACAGCCGAAAAAAATTGGCGATCACAGGGGGATCTACGCCAAAACCCACATGATCAACTACGTCAGCAGACGTATTTGCATACGATACAAGACGCCGTTCCATCCTGACTTTGGAAATGAATTCTTAAAAGCAAAAGTTTGAAAATCGCCGATGGCAAGCGCTGGCTTCGAGTGCAAGAGCAGTAGTTCACTTCGCCCTGTGCTTCCTTCTTTGAGATGATTAAACCGCTGTTGTTTTGACGTCCCCTGCGTGAGTTTGGATCACAGGTCATTGAATATTAAGCATTCTGGTGAAGGCCAGTGGCTGAGCGGTTCTCTCCTCACTCCTCCCATCTTCGCCTCTGTCCCCTCTCTCTCGCCCTCCCTCTCCTCATCCCCTCCCACGTTTTGCCCGTAGCCTTGCTACGGTTGTGCGACCAAAACAACCAGGTCGACTTTTAAATCGAGACGCATTACAACTCGGAAGAAACTAGTGCGGGAATACAGACGTCGCTATGGAAACCTACCTCGCGGGCGTTTTCTTATCTAAGTTTGTAACTGTAAAGATTAAAATACACTCAAAATCCAGGAATAGAGTATGACACCGTTATTTCTTTGGAATATTCTAAGACGCTTGATGCAGTGGGCACTGCATGAACGCTGCTGCTGCAGAAGCTTATGAATTATTCATTAATCAGGACCGATCCGCCAGTGTTTGGATATATTTACATACAAATAATCAGCTAATGAATTATTAATCATTTTCTTGATCTTTGTTTTAATTTTTTAATTTTTGTCGTTGATTTTAACTTATGGGCACTTGTTTTATTCATGAGGTAGCACACCTGCATATTTAGTTGTCAATATATTTAACGCCATCTACAGGACATGCAATGTAATGTTTAATGGATTATTTGTCGGTAGTTCTTGCTGACAGAATGCAAATTCAAGTAGCTACGCAAATTTCCCTTAGAAATATATGCAATAAAATATGAAAATGTATCAAATCTGTTCATGCTTTGATATTTGTTTCTTTTATTAAACTTATTGTTTCCTCCAAAATGATTTTTAAAAATCATTTTCTCACCTTCCTGTTGTTTCACAGATTTTCTTTTTTTATGGAACAGTAAAGGTAAAGTTTAGTGAAAGGTGAAAAATGAGCAGAAGCTGTCCAGCTAAAAAAAAAAGACAAAAAGCACTACTATGCACTTTTCCAGTGCAATATTCCAAATCATCTGAATCCATGCAACAGCTTTGTGTGAGGAATAGGCCCAGATTTAAAACAACTTTTATTATGCTTTTGTGATGTCTTTTGTCCTTTTAGGGGCTTGCTCACTTTATTTTATAGGTATAGGGTACCAGACTGAAAGGTAAGTGGCGGTTCTAATGTGAGCAAAATTTTACAATATTGTTATGTAACATTTGTGTTAGATGAAAATTGTAACAATTTAACATAAAGAGAATTTGACATCCTTGATTAATTTTATATCTTAATCATATGTCATTACTTGGCTACTCAAGATAAATATGCTATCATACTAGTGGTATTTGTCTGTGTGGATTATATTGTAAAACAGTTTAAGAGTTTGTATTTACTCTCGATTTTCTAAATTGTGTCTATACTTAGGTTTGCTGAGAGATTCAATATGCACAGAGAGCAGCCTCCCCCTCCGTATAACCCCTATTACCCTCCGCATTATCCTAATGCAACACAGGGTAACATTGGGCAACCCACCGTTGGCATGATGCCCCCCGCTGGGCAGCCCACTGCTAGCAGGATGCCCCCCGTTGTTGAACATGTCAATATGGGGCTTCCAGACAGCGCTCCGCCAGAATACTCTCTGGGATTTGAAGACGAGATCGAACTGCTTTTCAGAAGCTACCATAAGAAGAGGTTAGCTGTGCTATCTTGAACTGACTTTAATAATTTGGTTTTGCTATTACAGAAATATCACTTAAACATTTTCACAAATGAAATGTATGTATAGCCTATATTTATATGTATATATTAGGTGTACAATCAAATTTTAATAATACAAGAGCCTATGTACTTTTAAATAGCTATCAGCTATCAGCAATGTCATGCATGGGAAGGGTCAATGATAAAAAACTTGTTTCTTGTGTTCAAATGTGCTTCATGGTTTCATAAGAAAAGTGTATCTGACACTTATGGTTCAACTTTTAATAACTGTTGGAATCATCTGTGCTTTTCTTTACTGGTGAGTTGACTGGTGTTTATGTGCCACACCTATTTCAAATCATTTCAAAACACAAATCACAGATAATGAAGTGTACTTAAGTGTTACTTTATAGGCTTGAGTAACTTAGACTCGTCTTTATGTCAGTTAATACAGTTAGGTCCATATATTTGGACATTGACACAATTTTCATAATTTTGGCTCTGTATGCCACCAGAATAGAATTCAAATGAAACAATTAAGATGAAGTGCAGACTTTAAGCTTTAATTCAAGGGGTTGAACAAAAACATGACATAAAATGCTTAGGACAACCATTTTATACACAGCACCCCCCATTTTCAGGGGCTCAAATGTTATTGGACAAATAAATATAATCATAAATAAAATGTTCAGTTTTAGTTGTTGTTTGTTTGTGGGTCTTTCTGCCTTTAGTTTTGTCTTCAGCAAGTGAAATGCATGCTCAATCGAGTTGAGATCAGGAGATGGACTTGGCCACTGCAGAATAATCCACTTTTTTACCTACGAAAACTCCTGTGTTGCTTTTGCTGTGTGTTTTGGGTCATCGTCCATTTCCATTTGTCCAAGTGCCGCCCAATCAACTTTGCTGCATTTGACTGAATCTCTGGGCAGAGAGTATATCTCTTCAGAATTCTACCGGCTGCTTCTGTCCTCTGTCACGTCATCACTAAACACCGGTCACCCAGTGCCACTGGAAGCCATGCATGCTCATGCCATCACACCGCTCCACCATGTTTCACAGATGATGTTGTATGCTTTGGAGCTGTTCCGAGCCTTCTCCATATTTTTTTTTCTTCCTGTCATTCTGGTACAGGTTGATTTTAATTTCAACCATCCAAAGAATGTTTTTCCAGAAGTGGTCTGGCTTTTTTTAGATGTTTTTTTGGCAAAGTCTAATCAGGCCTTGTTTGCACCTTGTGGTGAACCCACTGTATTTGTTCTCGTGAAGTCTTCTCTTGATTGTAGACTTTGACAGTCACACACCTAGCTCCTGGAGAGTGTTCTTCTCTTGGCTCGTCTGATGTGGGTTCACAGCAACAGCTTCCAAATGCAAATAGCACACTTAGAATCAACTCCAGACATTTTACCTGCTTAGTTGATGTAGAAATAATGAAGGAATAGCCCACATCTATCCATGAAAAACTTTTGAGTCAATTGTCCAATTACTTATGGTCCCTTGAAAAAGGGGGGAGGTACATATTAAAGAGCTGTAATTCCTTAAACTTTCCTCCAATTGTAATGAGAATACCCTCAAATTAAAGCTCAAAGTGTGCACTTTAAGCCCATATTTACTTTTGAAAACATAAAAAGTATTATAAAATATTATACCATCAAACTTTTGAACAGTAATGTGTATAGCATATTAATGATGACATGCCATTTTCTTATAGGGAGACACTCAAGGACTGGGTGAGAGACACGTACTGGTTTACCTACACTATGATGTGAGCACTTCTCCTTTGGATGCAGTACATGCATGTTTTAATATGCATGTACTGCATCCAAACATATGTTACACTGACTTCTTGTGTTTGTTCAAAATTCACAAGGGGTGCAACGTTTGTTCTAATCATTGTACTCATCTGTTGTGGTGACATACGTCGCAAAGTTCCCTTAAACTTCATCTTCCTAGCACTATTTGTAAGTAAAACACAGAGCTGCTGTAGTATTTAATTGTGCTAAGCATTAAATGTGATCATTTTGTAAATGCTAAGTGCTGTTTTCCCACACAGACAGTAGTGACCGTAGACAGAGTAGTGTGAGTAAAAAGCATCATTAAAATGCATTTCAGTTACTCAAAAATTTGCTCTTCAATTATTCAAAAACGTTAGTTACACAGCCAGTGTTATAGTAAGGAATTGTTATTACTATTCAGGTACTATTCAGCAGAGGCAGTGCTCTGGGCAGTGGGTGCAACTGCTCTGGTGTCTCTTGCAATGAGTTTGTTTCCACTGCAGTTGAAAGTAAGTTATAAAATTGGCTGTGTACTGTATCAACAAAAAAATTGAGTTATAAAGTAAAAAAAAAAACATACCTATGGTTGTTTTTAGTGGGACTTCACAGCTCTGTCAGGGAGCATATGGGTATTATGCTGGACGCTGTTTTCATTTGCATTACTCTGTGCAATTCTGAGATCACAGGTAAATTATCAACTAATATGTTATCCTCTTACCAAAGATGTTTACTTGTTCATATTAATTCATGCTGATTTTTATGTTTCAAAGTATTTGTACATCCTTTACGCATCACTGGGAACTTTGATCTTCTCTGTGGTAAGAACACATCTTTCTTAGTCGTGTTTTATCCAGTGTAGCTTTGTCAAAATGTATATGCAATCCTTATCTAGGAGGGTACTGTAGTACTTATACTATTAGGTTGGCGCAGTATTAATTTGGTCTGCCAACAATCTTTTATTGTGCTTGCTTAATAGTACCCATTTACTGTTCTTATCTTACTGTCTCTCCGTTTCTTTTTGCATTAGTACCTGGTGATGGACATGGAGCTCATACTGGGTGGAAAGCATAAATACAGCAGCAGTCCAGAAGAGTACATCTTTGCTGCTCTGAACTTGTACCTTGATATTATCACAATTTTCTTATTATTGCTTCAATTATTTGGATTTTGTCGTTGATGTGGTTTATGAACATCATGATTGCTGCTCCACTCAACACCTCTCTCATGTAGACTATTAGGGTTTTGAGACACATTTTTACTCCATTTTTTAAACATAGCTTTATTGTGTCTATAACATATTGGAAGTTAAACTGAATTTTGGTTAATGGTACAAAAGCCTAAATCAGATAAAACAATTATCAGGTAAATAGCTAACACACTGAAAAAAAATGGTGGTGAAACAATTTTCACTCAAAATTTGCTATTAAATTTCACAGATAATTACAAAGAAACAGCAACTCACAAATTGAATTAAACATGAATTTTAAAGTAGAACATATTTGTAAAAAATACTTAAATATT